ATTTGTGACTTCATTTCCTGTATGTCAGGAAAAGTTCAGCTTGATAGCAAGAACTTTTACCAGTTCTGGTTCTAGAGATTCATTAGAATTGTAGTTATGTTCTGTCCATAATGCATAAACCAAGTTCAGCACATAAAAAGCAAAATGATTTTACATTCTGTATTTTTTATGGGATTAGCTATTCCCTCAGGAGAAAGCTTTTTTAAAAACCTCTTTTGGTGTCCCACCTCAATCTTTAGATTTCCAACCTATCGTAGATCATGGGTGTCAAACTCGCAGCATCACATTGCCATCACGTGATGTTTTCCCCCCTTTACGGAGCTGGGGTGGGCGTGGCCTGCATGTGACACATCCAGCCTAAAAGCCACCAGTTTAACACCCCTGCTGTAGATGAAATGGTCTCTGCTTTTTGGTAGTCAAACTTTGTTTATACTATCACTAATGTTTCAGAGCAGTTCAAACTGGAGGTTCTCTACCATCTCTTTAGAAAAGCACCCCATTTATCAGACAGTTGCCTCCTGAAAAGGATGCATTTCATTTTATTATCTTAATTCTCAGATAAGGGCCTATGTTTTATTACAGCTTATTTAACTCAGACTTTCCAAGGTGAGCTATTCGACTGAGTCAAGGAAGACAGATTACTTTCACATTCACTACAATCATTTGCTGAAGCTAGAAATGTTACAGAATGATAGATGAAGAAATTTTCACAGGCAATATTAGTCCTTAGGGAAAAAGTTTCTTCCTTATTTGAGACTTTATCTCTAAACCATCTCTGTTTTGGCAGACACCAGGTGGTTTGCAAATACAGTCTTAAAAGTTTTCAGGAGCTTGAAATAATTTTGAGGAAGGCACTATTGATTCCTTTCTGTTTACTTCACAGCAATAATATCACAGTGTTTTCATATACTTTTGTAATGTAAATTACAGAATTATAACAAATACTATACATCAGTATAAATATAACATCAATAAAAATATATATGGAGAGAACTTTGATACAGAATGGAGAAGATAGGGTTGTATACCATCCTGTCACATGATCATCCAGACATAAAGATTGTAGCTGTGGATGATAAACTGAGCCTGAGAAAGAACAACGAGAAGAATCAGATCTGCTGTTACATCTGCAGAATCTTTCACAGGGAAGGGACGCTGAAATCAGTTAAGGAACTGGCAGAAGCAGATGAACTTAGAGGGAAGGAAAAAAAGAAAATTGCTAACAAGCAGAGGTAGGTAGTCTTGGACTGCTGAAGAGATGCAGGTTCCAAAATGGTTGAAGATACAGAACAGAACAGAACAGAAACTGGAAGGGACCTTGGAGATTTTTTAGTTCAGCTCACTGCTCTAGCAGGAAGAACCTATACTATTTCAGATAAGTGGCTGTCTAGCTTTTTCTTAAAAACCTCCACTGATGGAGCACCCATGATTTCTGAAGGCAAACTATTCCACTGGTTAATTGTCCTCAAAGGAAGAGGAAGTAGCATGGGATCAATATCATGGCAGAGATTTCCAAAAGGAGAAGGGGATTTGAAGAGAAAAGATGACCATGATTATGCTAGCAATCACAGATTGGCAGACACATTCCAACTAAAGATCTTGAATAACTCTATGGGGAATTCAACACAGAACAGCTCAAGATAGATACACAATGTAATTCTAATTGGGACACCAAACTATTCTGTACATACATTCTCCTTTGAACACAGAAAGGTGTGTGTGTGTGTGGGGGGGAGACTGAAACTCCGAATGTTCAACTGAATGCTGCTTGCATAGTTATTTAAAGAATTGGTCTCTTAGAGCAAATACTTTTCTATCCTTTGTTATGCTTCTTCCCCACCAAAAAAACAAAGAAATTATATGGCATGATTCACTTGAAGGCCTTATGTCTCATCTAATTCCCACATGGGCCAGTGATTGCTTTCAGAATTCAGCAGAGAAAAGAGAATCAATCACCAGCAATTTGGGACTCCTTTTTTGTTTTCATTCAAGAAAACCAACTACTTTTGGTTGTATTATTGCCATTCCACTGCTATATATGCACAGACAGTATGATTGTTAAGAATCACAATCTGAGTATTATTGTCCTTTTTTCGTGCCACCTCTTTTCTTTGTGCATGAAGTTCCTTCAGACTGTAAGCCTGAGGGCTAGGACTGCTTTTCTTATTAATACCTCCAATGCTCTGCTGAGTATAAATGCTTTAAATTCACAAAACCAATGTCAAGAGCAGCATGTTGAAAACCCATGGATATTTTCTTCATGAGGCAAATTTCTGGTTAAAAAAGAAATAGAACCTTTATGGATATGGTAGCTGTATGGGACTTCACAGACCTTCCTGTATTAAATTGTTTCTTTTCTGTTTAACTGAGTGGCGTATTGAGAAGGCCAATACTTTTATGGAGGAGGAAGGGGGAAAGAGGAGAAACTTGCAGGGAATTCAGAATTAGAGAAATGTGGAGAGCATAGATTTTTGATTGGCTCACTTATACAGCTCAGTACTGACTGCCTAGTAGGCATATATATGACATAATTCTTCACTACCGACAAGAAAATACCTGTATTGATTGCATTTAATAGCAACCTGATGTAGCAATTTGAACATGGCATACAATGAATCCCTACAGCAGGATTTTTCCTGTAGGATTGTTTGTCTATATAGACAAGTTTAATGATGGCTACAAAAATCCCCGCATTGCCTTCTTGAAAGTTCCTACCTGGTTGATTATTTTCTAAAGAATTCCTTACAATTTGAGTTTATTACCAAAGTTCTGCTTTGTGATCCAATTCTACCTAACAAAAAAGTTGAGTGTGTCACCTTGCTGACATTGTCACATTTCAAATCTATTAAGCCCCCAATAAAAATAACTCATGAAGGCTATTTCTCATAAAATGATGCAACTTTTACATTTTAAAAGCAACTGGCTAATTCTCTTCCACCCTTTCTCTGGTTTTTAAGTTTCAAGGTTCTTGGATTTTTAGCATAGTGAAGTGAGAGAAACTACTTTTATCACCTAGGAACTTATTTTCAAAAAGACCAATGTGTGATTGATGAGGTTGATATTACTTTGAAATGGAAATACTTTCTCTGGCAGACAGAGGCGCTAATGTGACAGGAGGTTTCACATTTCAAGAGATGAGCTTGAGAGCTGCCAGGAGTTTTCAAACACCCAAGTAAAGGGGAATAAGGGGCCTCACATTTTAGAAAGAATAGAAAAGAAAAAGAAAAGCCATATTTGGAGACGACCAAAGAACAAAAATGAGATATAAAGAAGAATTTAATCAATAAAACCAAACAATATTTTGAAAAGAGAAAGAAATGGGAATCAAGAATAACAGCAGGGAAAAGATAATTTCCAACCACAACAGCTTGCTTGTGAAAAGTAAGAGTTCTCTATAAGAAAAAGAAATTAAAAATTCCAAAGAATAAAGAGAATCTGAGGCAATGAATAGTTCAGTTTCATATTGATACATTAAGTTTGTGAATATACCTGACAGTGTACCTGTTACAACTCTAGACAGGAATCCAGCTGGTTTTGAACTGATACATTAAGTTTGTGAATATACCTGACAGCATACCTATTACACCTCTAGATAGAATTTAGCTGATTTCAAGAGGAAGGAAACCTCTCCCTCCACAGTCAGTACAGGAATGCTTTTTTTTTAAAAAAAATCTCCCATCAAGAGTAAAAATCTTGATGACTGTCAGCTTTCTTTATAAGGTTCATTTATTCTTGAGTACTGTATAAGAATAGACTGCCAAGCGAATTCCAGTTTGAAATATATCAATTTACACTAAAGGCATGGAAAGTACTTTTTTCTACCTTATGTAATTTCTTCTACATAGGAATTCTTTTTTCACATATAGAAATTTACAACATATAGAAATATACGAAAGAAAAAAATAGATTCATGAGCTGATTGCTTGAAACAAGTGCCTTTTGCTCATTAGAGTACTGAAGAACAGAAATGTCATATTGCATATAGAGTAATATTTATCTCATTTTCTACATCCCCTAGTCTAAGCCAACAAAAATTGAATGTAAGAAATAAAATAAGAAAAGTTTACGAACAAAACCTAAAAAAAAAATGTACTGTAGCCCTTGGAATCTAGAAGTCACATTAATGTTACCAGGGAATCCAATGGACACTTTTTCAACCTGACAGACTCGCATTGATGATGTTACCTAATTTAGGTAATGAAACATCTGCAAGAAAACAAGCAAACTCAAAGACCACCAGCCCTCATGTCAACTTTGAGCTACAAACATACTTCTTTATTACAACCTTATATTTTAATATGCTTTACCATGTGAACTTTTTATTTAGTGGAACCACAGCTGTTCTACTAGTGTTTCACTTGTATTTAGGCGTCTTTGAAAACAAATAGGGCCCTGATTAAAATGTTAACCTTTTCACCCCTTTGATTGTACAATGGTTCTGGGGTTAACAACTATCCCAAAGACGTCTACACTATGAACCAAAAAGAGGTATTCATGGGACCTGCATATTAAGCTACAGTTTGCTTTAACCAAGGTTTGTTTAATTAGCTTTTTAGCCCATCTATTTTTAGTATTTCTATTTGCATTTCGGATATGTTAAAAGCTGGGGCAAAGCACAAAACCAAATCAGGAGATAAGCCACGAAGCCTGCCTACACATCATTTTAAGCCACATTTGAAAACACTAAGACAAAAATAAAACAGGTTTTTCAAACTCTGCCAGGCTACCCATGGCTTATTTACTGATCTCTCTTAGCAAATTACACTAAATAAGAAAGAAGTCAAAATAAACCATAATGCAGGGCAATATGCTATCTGTCCAATGTTAGTATGAATTTTACTTCATCTCTTTTCATAAAATATAATAGGATAAAGCAACTTGATGCACCATACAATACAGTTGTAGAGAGCAAATAACATAGAGAAGAAAGATAGGAGGGAAAGGATGTGGAGTATGGGCAGTAGATTAACAAGCATATCTTACTGGGTTTTTACACTTACTGTTAGTGCAACCAGCTTCATCAATTCCACTTTCACAGTCTTTTTCTCCATCACATTTCCAAGATGCAGGAATGCATTTATTGCTGGAGTCTCCACAACTAATTTTTTCAGCTAGACATACTTGTTTTGCTACAAAAGCAAACAAACGGAACACAGTTAAAGTTACCCAGGCCAAGAATATATTGTACAGCATCCAGCATCGCTTTGACTTTTACAAAGTGTAGACGTTATTTATAATAGTTCTGAAAGAAATGGGATTTCTTTTTCTGCCTGATATCTCTGAAAGCTTCAAATAAAGTTAGAGAAAATAAATTTATCCCAGATATTACGCAACACAAATAGTGCAGTGTGCACCAATTCAGTTTTTTCATGAACTATTTATAAATTAGAAAATAATATTGCTTAAACTCACTGACCCACATACAATTGGGGTCAAACATTACAAAATATATTTCTGACTTATTTTTCAAAGAGAGGAAGATAATTTAAGGAAGCTTCTTATTTGATAAATTCCTTGAAATTGGCTCTCTGTGTAGTAGTTTTATGGTGAAATATTTACTCTTGCTGGCATATGAGCTGTTGGTGAACACTCTTGGTAATATAATTTCTTTGATGGCCTTAATACTGGAGAGCCCATCTTTTTTGAAAAAAGAAATGTTAGAAACTCTATAGAATACATGAACAGAGCTAAGATTTTCTTTGGACTGCATCATCTGGAAATATAAATATACCGCCTCCTACAGGGTAGAAGGAGAATACAAAATTTAGAAAACAAAATGGAAATACTCCTTGCCTTGAATAAGCCTCACATTCACTTTACAATCTATAAATAAATAATGTAAGACAATATTAATAATGTAGGAAATACAAAGTGTTGTGTTTGACATTGTGTACAAAGTTATGGAGGATGTTTACTTAATACATATTTTACTGCACTGATAAGGATAACCCTGAAGCCAATGACTGCTTACAAACAATAATCTAATACATTTTCTTGGAAGTAAGTCCCACTTATTTTAATGGACTTTATTTCAGGAAAGCTAATAATGCCTTAATTTTGTATATGTAAAATTATGAAAATTCCTAATACTGGAGAGCAATATTTGATATTTCTTCAATTATCCCAACTGTCCCCTACTTGCATTCTCTTTTTCAGGCATTCAGTCTGATATTTGGGATACTTAAATAGCTAGAAACATATATTATCAAAAAAAATCTGATCAGCTGTCATAAAGATGGCACCATTAATGCTTTATATTGGTCATGTGTGATTGGGCACACAAAGAATTTGTCTCCAATGCATACGGTCTCAATGTACATGCAAAACAACAAAGTAATAATAATCATAATAATGATACCAATAAGAGAAAATAACAGAACATATGAGAAGGATAAAAATAATACAACCATACTACATAGATAAATAGATATAAGTACTGTGGGAATTAGATGTTCGGCAGAGTGTGGTACAAGGACAAAAACCTGTCTCTCTGTCTAGTTGTTTTGGCATGCAGTGCCCTATAGCGGCGTCCCGAGGGGAGGAGTTGAAACAGTTTATGTCCAGGATGTGAGAAGCCTGTAGATATTTTATCAGACGTCTTTCTGACTCATGCAGTATACAGGTCTATGGTATACTATGGTATACGTATATAGTATATAGGCATATTAATGACATGCTAACTAGTCCCTCCAGCTATAGCTGTTTTTCCCTTAGTTTAACAACTATAATTCATTTTTATAAACATTAGTTTGAAACTTTCCCAAAACAGAGTACAAGAGACTGCAACTGGGGAAAATAATAAAATTAAAAGTTCTTCTCCTGACATTATTTGAGAGCAAGTCTGTGAGCAATTGTTCTTCTCAGTTTATACAACAGGAAAAAAGCCCAGGGGTAATATGATCTAAACTTGTTCTTTTGGAGAACAAGAACAAGTAATGAAAATATAAACAGTTTTACTGAATTACAGTTAGCAGATAAGTTAGGGTGCTGGAGAGGATAATAGCAGGAAAGTATACTCTCTTTATAAAAAAAAAATAAGACATGAGATTAATCATCTCAATAAGGCACAAATTTTTTTCTCCAGACTAGTAGCCCTCCACATAACAGGCTTAAATTCTAGGATTTGAATTCTGGAACTAGGAATACAATAATTAGGCTGCGATGCAATAATTAGATGGAAAATATTCATTTATCTGATTTTCATGCTACCTTTCCTCTTTGGCAGGCACTCAAAGTTGCTTACAAAACTTAAAATTGAAGGCAAAAAATAAGAAAAAACACTAAAATTATGTAATAATGAAAAGCTTGGTGAAAGAGACAAAGACATTTTGTAAACACTGAAAGATTGGGGGATCAAGTATCCATAAATTGGAAACAACACAGGACGAAAACCTTCTTCCTAGTTGCAACTGACAGAGGAGTATGCGTAAATGGACCTTTCCTTCATATCTCAGCAACTACACAAAACTGAATAATTAACTAACAAATAGAAGCTGCCAATAGGCAAAGAGTTAAAGGCTGGTCTGCTTTTTTAAAATTTTGGCTTTTAAGTTGCATTTTGAGATACAAAGTTAAGAAAAATCAGTTAACAAATGACAAATCAGTGCAAAAAAGTTCTAGGAAAAAGGCCATCCATTTGTTAATGTTTCAATCGGAAGCAAATTTTGATCAAAATCAACAGCAGGCTGCAAATAAAAACTCAGTTGCAGGTGCAAATTATGTCTACTTAGCAATTCTTGCTTCCATCACTTTCATCTTTTTTGTGACTTAACAATTTGCAGTTTGAGTTTCCTGAACCTAGGATAAATAAAGGGTTAATCTGATATATGACAGGGAATGCTGTCAAGGTTTATGTTGGTGCAAAACATAGGGAGAACAGAGTCATTCACAAACAGACCATTAAAAAGACTTGGTTAAAATGTCAGACACATCAAGACCAATTTATCACCATGAGGCACAAATGCCAAGGATGGACAACAATGCTTTATTTATACAGAGACAAGAGTGAAGACAAGCAAGACGAGTCCATTGACTTGCCACAACCAATGGCCCATTCATTCTTGGTTTCTTTACATCCCAACAGGACAAATTCTTTCATTAAAATTGTTGAGCCTAACTGGCGCCCCATTGCTTGGCTTCCTCTTTTGCTACTGCTGAGCTTTTCAGGCACAGAAGCATTATATATATATATTCAAGGGAATGGCTAGATAACAGACATTGACATTCACATGACCATTTGTTGGGTTCTCACCATACAGGTGCTCTAGGGGCATGCAAAAAAATAAAAAACCAGCCCCTACTTCTTGTGGGAAACCTAAAGATCTTTTCAGTAACAGACTAGACCGTTTCTGGAAGCATGAAACAAGGCCTATTTTTCTGGAAATGTTATTTTGAACAAGAAGGCCTGCTTACTATGATCACTGCTTTAAGATTCCTTATTCAATTTCCTATAAAATATGAAACAGCATACTAAGAAGATCCAGTATTTCTCACAAACGTTATGCATAAACTGCTAATTCAGCCTCAGACATTAGCAGCTACATATATAATCCATCCTACTGCTCAACATATGATTCTTATGCCCTTGGGATTGAAGCCAGTGAAATTCTGTGAGTAGCGCTTAATTTCTACTGAGGGGGGGGGGGTGCGGGGGGGGGGGGGGGGGGGGGGCTGTTTTCAGAGGCACTGGATTTAAACAACTGTGTAATATAATTCTTTGCAACTAGTAAGGATTTAAATTCATGAATTAGGCTCATCAACAATCCAGCTAGATTTCATGTATTAGTGACATCGCTGGGGCGCAGTAACTCATTCAATATTTGGGCTGGGGAACGTTTTGGGCAATCACAAAACATTAGCATCTCTAAATTCATAAGTGCCCAGAAAAGACTTCCCAGAATGCAAGATTAAACTTAAATCTTCAAGGGATTAGACAACTAATCTCTAAAGGATCCAGAGTAATTCTACTTTGGAAATGCCTCATTTATTTTTTAACTCTTTAAATATTGCTGAATTTCAAGCAACTCCTAGCAGTATGTTCCAGAGCAAAAGGAACAGAAGGAATTGTTTAATTGTCTTATCAGAAGAACTGAGTTAAAAACACTTGTCTTGCAGGCACCAATTATAAAATGAAAACAACATAAGGCTGAGAGGAAATAAAGAGAGGCTTGTATAAGAAAGGGATGAATTAGAAGTCATTAAGGACAAGCAAAACCTATGGTCCAGATCTGTAGGGACAGTATTAAGAAAGTCCCAAAGGCGTTTTTCCAAAAAACAATTGAACTTTCTTGTGTTTTTCCCTTTGAAAACATTTCCCTTCTCATCCAAGAACCTTCTTCAGTTCTGAAAAACTGAATATTTTCAAAGGAAAAAAAAAAACTAAGAAAGCCCAGTTTCCTTGGGAAAAAGCACCTTTGTGATAAGCATGACCTGGATGATTTAAAATGTTCATAGACAGCATTAAGAAATCTAAAACACAGCTAAAGTCTGATATGGAAAGCTGAGAGAGGCAATAAAAATACCTTTCTCAATCTATCTGGAGCAAGAAAGCAGTTAAGTGTCATGATAGTTAAGAAATACACAGCCAACTTAAAATTATCCAGTAAAAGAGGAGTTGCGATCATTTTCCACTAATAAATATCCCAACAACAGAACGGGATAATAATGATTCAAATTACAAGCACAGAAAAGATACTGTACCTGGTTTCACACAGTACATTCAAAACACACACAAACATTTTAAAAACCTAATTGATGTTACACTGCATTAATAATATCATCATTTCCACATTGCAAGTAGCATAGTTTACTTCATCACTTAAATTATGCATTAGTTTAATCTCTAAATGATAAAAGAGGAATAATTTCAGGGAAGAATCATTAAGGAGTAACCTAATCTAGAAAACATATACCTGTACTCTAGAAAGGATATTGTATAACTTGGAAAGAAAAGAGTTAGAAGAGATGTTCCTCAAATATTCAAGACTTTAAATGTTAGAGGCAAAAAAGCAGAATTAGTATCAGCAGATTTTGGTTGAGTATTGAGATATCTGTCTTAGCAGTAAGAACAGCAGTTATTCAGATGGTGGCCATCTGTTAGGGCATTCTACTTTTAGATTTTTTGCAGTAA